ATCTGATCATGGAGGACGGCGTCTGCAAGGGTGTTGTCGCATACAACCAGGAAGACGGAACCATCCACCGATTCATCGCAAAGAACACCGTCTTGGCCACTGGTGGTTACGGACGTGCCTACTTCAGCTGCACATCCGCCCACACCTGCACGGGTGACGGTATGGCTATGGTTGCTCGCGCAGGTCTTCCCAATCAGGATCTAGAATTCGTCCAGTTCCACCCCACTGGTATCTACGGCGCTGGCTGCTTGATCACTGAAGGATCCCGTGGAGAGGGTGGTTACCTTCTCAACTCCGAGGGTGAACGGTTCATGGAGCGTTACGCACCCACTGCCAAGGATCTTGCCTCCCGCGATGTCGTATCCCGATCTATGACCCTGGAAATCCGTGAGGGCCGTGGTGTCGGACCGGAGAAGGACCACATCTACCTTCAGCTCAGCCATCTGCCCGCCGAGGTCCTTCACGAGCGTCTACCTGGTATCTCTGAGACTGCCGCCATTTTTGCTGGTGTCGATGTCACCAAGCAGCCCATCCCTGTTCTTCCTACCGTGCACTACAACATGGGTGGTATCCCCACCAAGTACACTGGTGAGGTCATCACCCAAGACGCTCAGGGTAACGACCAGGTCGTCCCAGGTCTGTTCGCTTGCGGAGAGGCTGCCTCTGTCTCTGTCCACGGAGCCAACCGTCTCGGTGCCAACTCCCTACTCGACCTTATCGTTTTCGGTCGTGCTGTTTCTCACACCATCCGCGACAACTTCAGCCCCGGCCAGAAGGCTGACCCCGTCTCCGCCGATGCCGGTGCCGATTCCATCTCCGTCCTCGACCAGATCCGCACATCTGACGGCGCCAAGTCGACTGCCGAGGTCCGTCTCCAGATGCAGAAGGTCATGCAGACCGATGTCGCCGTCTTCCGAACCCAAGAGTCGCTCGACGAGGGTGTCAAGAAGATCCACGACGTCGACGCCGACTTCGCCAACGTTGGTATCAAGGACCGCAGCATGATTTGGAACTCCGACCTTGTCGAGACCCTTGAGCTACGCAACCTCCTCACCTGCGCCGTACAGACTGCCGAATCCGCCGCCAACCGTAAAGAGTCACGAGGTGCTCACGCCCGTGAGGACTTCCCCGACCGTGACGATGACCAGTGGATGAAGCACACATTGTCGTGGCAGAAGAAGCCACACGGCGAGACTCAATTAGGTTACAGGAAGGTTGTTGGTACCACTTTGGACGAGGCTGAGTGCAAGGCTGTACCACCATTCAAGCGTACATACTAGAGGATTGGTAATTTGGAAAGGAAATGAGGGATGTATTTTGTATTCTATGTACATCGGATGATGGATTGCATGTTTTAGCATGTTTAAGAGCGAAAGCCGTTTAGGATTGAGAATCGAATCATTCAAGTTCATATTGGTCTATTTTGTCCATTGTATCAACAAGTGTAAGCGCTCGCTGGTGTTGTGCTCCGAAACACAGCTGTCGGTGGATGATGTGTCTGTCCTGGTGTATGGAGGACTCCTTCCCTGCCTGACTGTATTGTTTGGTGGGGGCTGTCGTTCTCGGCAAGTGCGATACTCACCCGCACAGCACAACATCAGCTTTTCGACCACAACACGAGCATCGGCACCTTCAAGGCCGGGCAATGAATACGGTCTCAACCAAACAGGGAACAGGGATTTCGCTTCGACGTTCGTGCACCCACACTCATCGCGAACTGAACATGGCTCCTGCCGTGTATAGGCAAGGCTGGCTTCTAGCCTGGTCTATCGTTACCCGAGGGCTGAAGTGGCTGAAGTGGCTGTCACCACGCCAGATGGGGATCCGCTCATGGCAATAACAAGACTTTCAGACTTTCTCGCTCTCTGGCACATCACCATGGTGGAGCCTGTGTCAGAAACCGTGTTTTTACACGTTGTGATATCCAAGGCGGAATGCGCGAAGAATGCTTGCACATAGGCACACCTATTTTGGTCACGCATTGTCCAGGGAGGCCGCAGCTAGGCCCTCAGCTCTCTGCAAGAACCCATTTCACGCACGTTCATCAGCCCCCATCTGCGCCGGAGGTCTATCGCAGCCGCCACCAAGCCGAGTTCAGGCGGCACAATGGCTCTAAGTCTGCCATGCTTCAGCCTTCTCGATAAGAAATTTATGGGGGGCTTGAACTTATTAGAGGCTACTTCCCAGCCTTCTCCGATGAAATTGTTACTCGAGTTCCATGTCAAAAGGCGAACACTGTTTCTCTCTCCCATTTTATTCTCCTCGCTGAATGCGGCACCGTTATTATAATATCAATACTTTGACCTCGTGGAATCTGGCATACACTTCTAGGCAAGGAATCGAAGGCTTTTGAGCTATTATGGATCCATTCCAAGACCACCACATAGCCTCTGTTACTTCTGGGTCAGCAGGGCGCCGATTATCGTTGTCCCAGACATCTCGCTCTTGGTCAACTTCATCATCGACAGGATCGTATCTGCCAGATGATGATCAAGACTTTGAACCCGAAAGATCGCCCTGTTCTTTCGGTGCAGAGGCGTTCGATGGAGGAACTGAACTGACGTACTATCCGTAAGTGCTATGTTCATACCATTATCATCTTCCGGTGGAGCTTACAGGCAGACAGATTATACCGAACAGGCAATCCAGACACTCAGACCTTGCTCAAAATCCAGAATGCCAGGTCTTCATTTTCGTCAGTCACGTCTTCATCCTCTTCAGAAGCGGACGATGATCGGCCCACCCAAAGAATGCACCAGATCAACGTGGTCGTCAAAGCTTTCTGGAAACTACCAGTCATTCGTGACATAACCTGGCCGTTTCAGTGGCTCAGCCGCCGATTCAAAGACGTCTCTTCGAACAGCCGGTTTCACGGTTGGCGTATGGGTGTTCTATTAGGCTCCTTTGCTTCGTCGCTTGTTCTTTGCTGCAACATAGGCATCCTGGTGTTCGGCTCACTACGGCACGGCTCTGCGGACAACTTTACCGTGCTGTCAACTGGAAAGGCCAAAGACATGTCTTGGTGGTCTAGCGCTATCCACATCGTGATCAATGCGCTCAGTACAGTTCTTCTAGCTGCTTCTAACTATACCATGCAGGTACTGAGCTCGCCAACAAGAAGCGATATCGATCGAGCTCACTCTGCACGCCATTGGCTTGATATCGGGATTCTTAGCGTTCATAACTTCAGTTATATCCCAACCCGACGGAAGCTTCTGTGCATCATCATGGTAATGTCCTCTATACCTATACACTTATTGTAGGTTTATATCAACTTTTCATCGGATCAGTTTGATGGCTTACCAGTCTCAGCTACAACTCTGCAGTCTTTTACATCGGAGCAGACAATAAGTACAACATCTCCCTGCTACCAACAGACTCTATTGAGTACGAGAGTCTATCACTTCAGGCTGATACAGCCACCAACGACGATCGCAATGTAACACTCGACAATAGCAGAATAGACAGTGCATACCATGTGGACACCAGTTTCCATGAATACGGAGACTTGTACCTTGCGATCGACGGCTACTTTCATGGAAATAAGTCGGAGCTTCCAGAACTGGGTGAGAATGGATGGCCGTTTAGCGGTCCAGAAGTACTTTGGAATCCAAACGCATCCTGGCCCTTTGAAATAGAACACGATTTATACCTCAACCGAAGTATCATCAATGGCACTTGGACGTATGTCAGGATTAATTCGACAATCACCGCCTCTACGGAAGACGGCAACCAGATTTGGGCTCGTTACACTCACGGATTTGCAGAGTATCACGTCAAAACATCCAGTCGCATCGAGCTAAGTCTCACCTTCATGGCGATTGTGATCGTCTGTAACGTCGTGAAGCTGTTTACGATGTTGTGGGTGGTATTCATGGAAAACCTAGACTATATTGTTACTGTCGGAGATGGAGCAGCCTCATTTCTGGCGTACCCCGACTTAACGACCAGGGGCATGTGTGTATCAACCAGACACGAAGTCATCGCCAAAGTTGGGGCTGTCACAGACATTTCAAAAGAGGATCAAGATCTACTTGGGATTATAATTCGTAAATGTGGCAATCTTTGGACCAAACGACGCAGTCAATACTCCACTGCCCTCGACAGAGACCGAGTATATACCTCGTATGCCATGTAAGTTCACCTGGAACTGTTAACTAAAAAAGCGCGAGGTTAACGTCTTACTAGCTATGCAATTGGCTGTGCACTCTTCTACGGTCTAGTGATACTACTCTCGACTCTAGGACTCACAAGTCCAAGATGGGGATCCGCAAGCCTTACCGCGTTCCGCCAAACTGAAACGTCCGCCCAGGCCACACTTTTGAACGCGTGGCTTGCCAATATCGCCCAATTGGTGCTGTCCTACTTTTATCTCGCAATTAATAGCGAATGTACTGCTATGGCTGGAGCTGCGGAGTGGAATAACTTGGCAGTCTCGCGCAAAGGCCTACGTGTAACTCGTCCTGTCGGGGACCAACGCGAAAAGTACATCCTCCAGCTACCATATCGCTGGTCCCTCCCTCTAGCTGCAGTGAGTGGTGGTCTACATTGGCTATTATCCCAGAGCATCTTTATCGTGCGTATCGACGCTTATGACCGAGAGGGAAAGATCATGCAGGCTAATTCTCAGTCTGCAATCGGGTTCTCGGCAATAAGCTTTATAACTTTGATTCTCTGCTTTTACGTCCTTGTAGGATCCGTAGCATGGATAGGGCGAAGACAGATGAGGGTTCGAATACCCTTTGCGGCATCCTGTAGTCTAGTCATGAGTGCGGCATGTCATCCACCACCAGACGACGTCGATCCTCACTTGCGACCTGTTCAGTGGGGCGTCACGGAGGGTAACATGTTTGAAGGGGGAAATCATTGTTCGCTTTCATCGAAACCTGTAACGAAACCGAAGGTTGGAGAGAAATATCTTTGAGTAATTAGCTATAAAAAGTTCAATTTGATCATGAAGTCATGATGAACTTCGGGCGCTTGCAACCAAATTACAAGACTTAACGTCGCGCGAAGCTAAACCAGCCCCTCTGCGGCCCAGTGACAACCGGCGCGGTCTCCACATCCTCCGCCGCTAACTCGCTCACCGACTGCTGCTCCGATACCATCGAGTTCGTAGAAGCGAACGAAGACGTCTGCACCATCATCGGACTCTTGCCAGGCCGCCACATGATCGGTAGATCCTTGAGCTTATGACCCTTCTCCATGAGCGGAATTTCGCTTTCCAGATCAGTCCAATTGCGGTGGCCTTCCCCCTCATAGGCCCGGCGCTGAAGCTGCCATACTCCATCTTGTGTCCAGCGTGCGATGCGAGGACCGAGTGCGCGGCGGAAGCGAGTGAGGTAGACGAGGAATTTGAGGAGTGTGATGTCGATGATTGCGACGAGAACGGAGAAGGCTATGATGAACGAGAGACCGAAGACGTTGATGTTACTGGTATGAGTTAGTAAATGTTGTCAAACACTTTGCAGTGGAGCAAGGATACTCACACAAATCCACCAGTCTTCTTCATCTTCTGCGCCCCACAAAGCGTCCACTCGCCCTCAGTCTTCGGCTCTATGCGGTATCCATCTGCCGAAGGATCGCCTTCTTCGGGCCCTATAGCATGACGCGATACCATGACTTGCAAAGCGCCCCAAGTCTCTTGTTCCCAGCCAAGTACTTCCTGTTTCCAGAAGTCGTCCGGTATGTCTTTAACTGTGAATTCGTTCAAAGATATCATTGTGTTGACCTTGCAAGATAAAACGTCCGAGGTTGGGTGCAACCACGTTGACCTGATCAACAGCTCTAATATCGCCCGCTGCACCTCGTTTGCTTCCGAAAAATCCTGCTCGATATGGAGGGGATGGGTACACCTTCCATTGGTGTACACCAATCGTCTTTGCCATCCCTTGCATGGCAGTATTGCAACTGTGGGCTGTTAGTGGATGTTGCTGTGTGAAAATAAGCTCTTGACTCACGTTCTGGGTACATGCAACCGCCTTGCTAGGATGATCAGCCTGATAGCGTATAGATGTCTCGCCAGTAGAGAAGTCAACCTTTTCGTATTCTTTATGTGAAGAATAGAGCGGGTCGTTGATCGGCTTTTCGAAAGAGAGGGAACCACCAAAGAACTGCTTCAAGATGATATCGCTTTCCGCTTCTTCGGGGTTGACAGGTTCAATTCCCCTCCTGGGAATCCAACTTGATAGGGCAATGGTTTCCTTCTTTCTAAACCACTGCAGGCCGCTTTTTGCTTAAATCAGCTGAACCCTTAACAGAACCCATCATCATATTGACTTACCGAGGCACCCATGGGTTCCCACTAGAATTCGACGCAATAAGGTGTACTATGTAGCTCTCTCCAGTCTCGAGGGGTGTCCTTGGCCCGTAGAAAAAGACGGCAACCTGTTCTCCTGGCAGGATCTCTCGATAATCGGGTTTCCACATAGGCCTCTCTTCCAGATCAACGACATCGTAGTATCCTTCTACCGGTAGAACAGTACACTCAGTCTTCTTGCGAAAGGATACACGATCTTTAGCAGCGAGATTCAGTCCGAAAGTTTTGCTGACATCAATGAGGCCGGAGTCGATACGAACGGCGTCCTTGGTATCGCACATGGTGTCATTGAAGGGACAAGGAACGTTTTCAACGTTCAACGGTATGTTGGGTTGCGTGAATACATTGCAGGCTGGAGGTAGTGGGCCATCACGGTAGCATTCCCGAGTGTATGCAGAAGCAGCTCTGTCAATCAGCTGTCCGTAAGGCCGCCATACTGTTCCAGTGACGTTGACTTGTCCGCAACTCGGAGAATCTACCATGACTGTAACCGTTCCAGTGTCGACAATGAGAGAGGAGAATATGGAGGCGGTAATCGTTATCGCTGCGAAAAGCATGGCGATGAGTACCAACAATATTGACCGTAGGAAGGGTCGATCGGCCTTTTTCCTCCAAGCCCAATATAGCTTTAGTGCCTCAGCAATGACTGAGCTTGGAGTCGGAAGCGTACGGAGCAGCGCTTGTTGTTGCCGGAACAAAGCATCTGTTGGATGGCCATTGGCTCGAATTTGATGGATCGCAAATGCAATCAGATGCCAAAGATGTGCCGTACCTGATCTTGTTAGGGATACGTCGAATCATACCCTAGTTGGTCATACCAAGGGTTGATAATATAGCTAGTAGCGCAACGACAAGATTGCCAGTTTGCGTGTCAGTCGTTATCGTTCTTCCGAGGATGGGCCCATCATCCTGGTTAGTCCTAGATGCGAACTTGTCAGTAAAGGTTTCCGAGCTATGATACGGAACTTCAACGAGTTGAACTTACCATGCGCCAGTTCTCACAAATTTCGCATCTAGCTCAAGAGACGTCCCGTATCCAAAAAGATCCATGATCAAAATGAAAAGTGAAGCCGACCGCTGTGTTGAAGGAGACTACTGCGATACATTGTATCTCCTAAATACCGTGCCATTTTGCTACGAGAAGCATCCGATCTACTGCAATGTACAATCTGAAGGAGGCACAGTTGCTCGACGATGCTTGGCAAAGCAATGCGGCGAATAACGAATACCGAGGAAACGACGACCGTTGCTCCTGGCGCCTCGAGACAGATACTCGCGATCTTCATACCGTAAAGAGTATCTCTTGAGACGATTTTAGTGCGCAGGACGTGCTCAGCGTCAATAACGTGGCAATGTGGGTATGGTCAGCGCGTAGGCGACCGCAAGCGCGATGCCGGCGCGTACGTACAGATAGAACAGGTCCGACATCCGGAGGATGCTGGAGCAACTGTCGTCTCTGGAGCTTACAGCACCGATGAAGATGCGCTGATGCAGAAAAGGACCTGGTTTCGACCGCGCCACGTAGAACGCCATCCGAATCTACCTAGGTACCTAGGTAAGGTGTGAAGCGCAACTATGCCACCAAAGGGATCGTGATAGCGACTTCGCGTGGCCAGTCCGAAGGCTAAAGCTTCCACCATCAAAAGAAGCGATAGCTGCGACGCGATACTCAGCTTTGCGGTGTTGCTGAAGACGTCGGAAGGTATGAGGTTGCAAATGTGTCTAAGCAGCCGCCTGTGCATGAACCCTTCGGGGTCAGAAATGTCCCGCGCTCGGCCGTTCTACATGGGCCGGCAACACACATTGAACTCCAAAGTATAGCCCTCGGCTCTTCTTCTTCTTTTGAGAAATTCTTCGCTGTCTTCTAGAACGTGGTATTCTTAGCACAATGCATTGCGCATGGGCATTTAGTTGTCGCACATGGACCAGCACGTGACCGGTTTGATCTACGAAAAAGTGAAGCATGGACTGACCGGCTTCGCTTGCATTTGCCGCACTGACTTGGCCAAGACACTATCAAAATCTGCCGTATGATCAACGTCCAGCATCGGGGATGTCAGACAGGCGGCCTGGTAGGCGAGTATTTTACGTGCAGCCTGCAACGCTTTTCGCCAGCTTGGCAGAGTGGCGGTGCATGAATGCTTCGAATGGCTATGGGGCCATCGTCTACACGCATCGACATGTGCTCGCCGTGTAATGCTGGAGTGCATTTGTCGCTGTCCGCGCAGCAAGTGTGAAATGCTGTGCGTTGGATCATGGCAGCCATAGCCGCACGTGCCATTCTTCACAGATGTCGAATGCAAACATGGATAAGATGCAAAAGTTGGTATGTACAATGACTAGATTCGTCTATGTAACACACAGGCTTAGAAGCCCACCGGTGTGGCTGCGCATGGGATCTTTCATAGCAGGATCACTTCGTACACATCCATTACCCAATGTCCTTCTTCACCCCAGCCGGTCAATGCGATGAATAAAAGTATTGACAGCGAAATTAAGATCCGACACACACTCCTCACTTGATGACAAAAAAAGAGACCAGTCCGTGCTGAAGCAGGTACATTGGATTATTATGGGGCAGCTTGAGGAGCCCAAAGATGAGACAGAAATGCCGCGGTAACTTTTCGAAGAGGTACCAACAATGAGGGGTATCATGCAATCGCTATGCTCTCATGTAATGCGCTCTTGCTTGCTCTAGAAGCGAAGCTTGGCTTCCCGGGAGTGAAGCTGGAAGCGCTTGTCGAGGGTGATGTCCTTAGCGATGACAGCAGCGGCGGCGCGGGCAGCTGGGCTACCGTTCAGACCGCTGTGGTCTGGCACGACGTAGTTCTTGGTAAGACGCTTGGCAACGTTGCCATCAACACCGTTGCTGAGGAGGAGGTTTGCGCTTCCGGCAGTGTTACCCTTGACATCACCCTGGCGGGCAGTCTGGAGGAGCTTGGCCTTGAGGGCAGCGGGGTTCTGACCAAGTCCGGCGACATCCTGGGTCATGAGGGTGGCCATGACACCAGTGACGTGAGGGCAAGCCATGGAAGTACCAGAGAGGAAGTTGATGACAGCGTCGCCAGTGGCCCAGGAGCTGAGAATCTGCTCACCGGGAGCGTAGATGTCTACGCATTGACCAATGTTGGAGAAGGTAGAGATCTCGTTGTCGATGTTGACAGAGCCGACAGTGACGACGTTGGAGTTCTTGCCACCAAGGTGAGCGGGGGTGCTACCGCAAGCGTCGATACCGTCGTTACCAGCGGCAACTGAAACGTGAATACCAGCAGCTGAGGCACCTTGAATAATCTCATCGACTGAACCAGCGGTACCCTGAAGACCCCAAGACATGCTCATAATGGAACCAACGAAGCCTGGCTGTGCGCTGCGCTTCTTGTGGTTGGTAATGACCCAGTCCATACCCTTGATGGTGTCGGAAGATGCACCAGAGCCGTCGTCTCCAAGAACCTTGACTTCGATGATGTTGGCGCCTTGAGCAACACCGAACTTAGCGCCACCGGCGGTACCGGCAACGTGAGTGCCGTGACCATCACCGTCAACGAAAGAGCCAGTGGCGGTGAAACCTTCAGAAGCGCGTCCAGTAAACACAGCGTGGGAAGTGCGTACGCCAGTGTCGATAACGTAGATGTCGACTCCGGCACCGAGAGCTGAATCATCAAAAGAGTAGACGAAATCCTGGTCCTGAGGAGATCCTTTAGCGCCGGCCGCGCTCGAGACTCGCTGCAGACCCCAGGGAGCGCCTTGCTGCTCTGCGAAAGACTTGACTTCGGCCTTCTCTTCTACGATGTTCACCTCAGTCATGCCCTGGAAAATCTTGGCGTGCTCCGCGCACATCTTCACGATGAAGATCTTAGGGTCCTCGCATTCAGATTCGTATACTAGTGTATCGTTCTTGTTGAGAGATAGGGCGTCCAGATATTCATCGACGGGCCTAGGGATGGTCTCATTACGCCAGAAGGTAATGATGTACTCCTTGACATCTCCAGAATGGTTCGAGGGTAGAGAGTATTTGCTGATGTAGCCGGGGTTGCTGGGTCCAGGAGCTGCAAAGACGGAGGCACTGGCGGCCAGGAGACCGGCGGCGATAGCGAAGAAAGACTTCATGTTGATTACGGTAAGGATCCGGTCCGGTAAAAAGTTGTTGGAGGAGTAGAAGCGAAGGTGGGGCGAGCCTGGTAGTCACTGGCAATGAATGTGGAAGGAACGCTACGAGGTGCAAGTCAGTGACAGGCCTGCTGTGAACAAACGACTAGTGAAGCGGTGGACCAGCGACCGTCTTTGTCGGTTTATAACCGTGAACATAAGCGGTGTTGGGGCTACGTCTTTTGAGACAAGCATACAAAAGGGCTATAATAGCGCTGTGTGGGGTCGAGGTATACGGCAGATTGGGGTAGGGCAGGCACACAATGTGCGGCAGCCTTGGGTTGGCAAAAGCTAGGGTACTCACATCAACGTGCAGGTGCGACGGAGTCGTGTATCAGGCAGGACGTGTCTGAGGAGGAAGGCGTATCGGCCAAGACGTGCCAGCACGCGAGAAGAAGAAAGGGAGGGTGGTGAAGGGAAGCAAAGTGAGTGAGAGACGAAAAAAGTGAGTGTTGAAGAGAGAGACAGAGCACTCCTAATGAATGGAAGCGAATGTGGGGTTGTAGGAGCAAAGAAGGACCAAGACCGTTGGGAAGGAGTGATGGGAACCTGCCCAGGCGGACGAGACGGCCTCATGTACTCGCTTCGCAAGTGTCCAGGCCATAACCACCAAGCTCATCGTTGGAGCCTCCGCATGTGAAACGGCTTGGCTGTGGGCTTGTTCCCGCGAGCTACCAGGCCCAATTCACTACTGCGCGCCGGTAGCCAAGCCGCGACGGTCTGCATCAAATCGCTAACCAGGGGTAGGGCGGGCCCTAGGGACCCTCGACGCACGATTGGGGCGCCTCGGGAGATTGTTCGTGGTAGAGCGACGACTGGCCAATAGCCAACGTTGTATTGCACGGCCAACATTAATATGTTTGGGCGCACCTATCCGTTGTTGGTCGCACAGTACCGTTCCCGGGCTTTCGAGTTGCTGAAGTGGGAGATGCGGAAATTGAATGCAAACACTCGCCCCTGCCGCGTTGGTAGTTTGACTGACACAGAGGGAAGGAGGAGCCTTAGCCGACTCAAGCTTGATTGGCTGTCCGCTTCTGAAACAGCGTGGGCCTGCGTCACAACCCAAACCAGGCAAGCGCCCAGGGCCAATCCCCACATGATGCATGAACCTGCACTCAACGCAAGAAAATCCAGACAACAGTCCGCACGGCCAAGGGGCCCGTCTGCGCGTCCAAAGATCATGCACGACCGCCAGCAGAGCCGTGGCGTCCTATGAACGCGTCAATGCCTGAGCCACTCGGCACCGCAACGGCTTTTCCTCTCTCTGCATCCAGTCGCCACCGTCGAGAGTGCATAGTTTGACGCGACACAATGGTCTCTCTCCGCAATGTGTCAAGCCGTCCACCATCCGGAAACTAAACACCCAGAGCCACAAATCCGAATGGGGCGTTTCAATGTTTATTAAGGGGACTCGTACGAACTGATGGCGTTACACACCCGGTGACTGGGAACAGACGACTCTTCACACTGCACATTGTACTGCGTCTGTGTGCATAACTACGTCCCATGCAGTAGCCACACCCCCCGAGTACTGGCAGAAGCGTCTTCACGACGTGCGCCCTTGCCGTAGTGCCTTGAACACAGCGTCCAGTTCCCCAACGTTTCGTCCTCGACTCGTACCACCCGAGGGTCTGTTTCGAGATGTCAGATATAGCACGCATAAGAAACACCACCCACGCACCACCAATTACAAGACCACTTCAGCCTGAACAACAAGAACTGCGGCATAAACAACCATGACCTGTAAAGAGCAGTCTCACCTGTCAAAGAAAGAGGCATAAAGCTGTCAGAAACAAACAAGATGACAATGTTTGATCCGCGGCCTACTTTTGGCCCATCGACAACAATTGCGCCTCACGTCCAGCAAGGCCCAGCAGATTGGTTTGGATGCCCTGGTCGCAGGACGACGACCACTGAGACCCTCAATCTATGTGCGCCGCATCGTGGCTTGGTCTTCGAATCATGGCCACACAAGTCGGGATTAGGCGCGGCGCTTGAAACCACACTACCAATCCCTCGCTTCGAGATGGATGGGGAAGTTTCCATCGCGCCACTAGATGGAGATCTACAGGATCCAATCTACCTCAGCCAACGATGCAGAAACTATTTGGGTTATGGCGAACACTGGTAGGGAATGTCAAATTTTCCGATCTTTACTGTGGAGCAGCATGGTCGTGGTTGGGGTCGCTCTATGTCGGACTTTAGATTGTCGATGCACCACGGACGACCGTACCGTTACTCTATCTGCCCAACGGCTGGGGTAGAGAATTCTACGCGATGCACACTAAACTCTCTTCATGACGCACAGCATCTTGACAGACGCGAAAGCGATAAGCTTTAGCCACCCGTGAACCCGCCAAAGCAGGGTATGCAGCTCTGCCTGTGCAGGAGGCTATGCGCAGTCTGCAACATGACTGTGGTGTACTTTGGTTGTTGAGTTGAAATTCTTCTGAGTTCCCTCGGTTGAGAAACACTGAAGCCCAAGGCTTGCATTGGACACGTGATATGCGCAGTCTTCAGTCGGCACTGCAACATGCGTGGTCCATTCAGAAAGAGAATATCGCGTTACATTTACATAGCCATCAAACAGCTCGATTGATACAAAGAATGTACAAACTCGATCCTATCGTACCCTGCCCCTCCCCAAACCCATCGTTTCAACCAACTAGCATAACCATGACCATGACCAATACCAAGTCTCCCATGTCCATCTTAATCATCTAATAACAGGACCTCTATACTTCCTCGTCACTCTCATCGCCCAGCAGCTCTCCTTCGTCGGGATCGACAACCGCGTAGTCACCCCTGCCACGCGCAAAACTGCTTCTAGAAGTATACGTCCTGCCGTATGCTCCATAGCCACCTCCGCCACCCATTCTGCCTGCCGCCCATCGCCACACGCTGCCCACGAGTAGGGGTAGCGCACTGACGACAGCCACAAGGCCTGATACAGCGACGATGGGATACTTGACCCATGGTTGGTCCGAGTCGAACGCTCCACCTCCATTGCCATCGCCGAGGCGAATGCGACCGAACTTGCCGTCCCAGTGCTTCCACACATAATATCCGATACCACCTGCGGCAGCAAAAGGAAGGACGATGGCCAAGAAGAGCGAGAAGCCACCAATGCCGTGCTTCTTCTGGAAATCCTCCTCGAAGCCAGGGCAAGGCTGCACGTCACCCGTCTTATCGAGCTCTCGGCCGCCTTCGCAGGTAGAGAGGGGGATCTTGCGGAATCGGACGTCCGTGTAGTACTCTTTCACGTTCTTGTCTTTGCATACGGCTGAGGCTTCAGGGAGTTCGAGACCGGCAACAGGCTTGCAGTCGCCGCTTGCATCGCGTTCGTAGTTGTATGCACTGTGGAATGTTAACTTATGTCGCCTGTTAAAAGTGAGAAGTGTGTGTTACCATTCAAAGTCCCGTCTGGTGCAGGAGCAGTTTCGGGCAATCTTGTGCATCTTGTCGATACGCTGGCCGTTCTTGCATTTGGCGTCCCTCTTTTTGCGGTGGTATTGCGCTACGTGGCCGAAAAGACATTGTGGCTCCTCTTGCTGTAGAGGATGTTGTGGGGTCCAGAGGTCATAATCACCGCTTGTGGGATGCTCTTCGTCGAGCTCACAAGGCTTGCTGAACTCCGGTAGACCGGAGAAGTCAAGGTTGACAGCAACAAGTTCCTTGCTGTCCTTACCCCAAAGGAGAAAGTTTAGAGAAGTGTCGCTGGGCACAGTGGTAATGGCTTCGACACGCATCTTGTGATCGGAGAACTGGTATAGGTTCCACTTCGCACCGCTGTCAAGCGAGTAGTAGACGTGATCGGTGTCTTCTCCACGGCGGACAATGACGATGACGGAACCTTGGTCGCCAAACTCCCAGGCGTAGGTGCCCTTCTTGATTTCTGTCCAGGTAATGCCTGCGTCCGTCGTCATGAACGTATTGGCTTCGCCAAAGGTGGTCAGCTCTGAGCCCACGTTACCGACAGCAAGCATCAATCCAACTGCTGTCGGGGAAGAGTACATCTCCCGAGCATCGGCGCGTTCGGTGTATCCATGGATGTGTAGACCGCACTTGTTCTTATCCGAAACGTCGCAGTCATATGCCTTGCCTTCCGAGTCCTTCTCGGGTGCTTGCAGAGCTTCCCAGTCCGCGCCGTCGTTGTGTGTGATACGACTTTGCTTCTTCTTCTTGGATCCCTTGTTGACCTCATCGACGTTGACAATGACGTTGGCGACAGCAACTCCCTCGAGACCTTGCATCTTCTCAAAATCGACATAGCCTTCTGTATTCCGGTTGACGGCGCTCAGGCTCATCACGTAAGACGTGCCGTTGCTGTTGCTCTTGATGATAGAGCCGTACTCCTGGTCCTGTGCTGGGTTGACTGTCACGTGGAGGAAGACTGCATGAGTGGAGCTGTCGAGAACTGTGTAGGCAGTCTGGTGGACGTCGAAGAATTTGGGAGGGAACTTGGCATCGGCGAAAGTGTTGGCGTCGAGACTGGCATCCAGGTGGAGGGTGCCATCATCGGCTTTTGTTGCGACAACGATGAATTCGGACATGGTCGCGAATTCTACAACAGACTTGAACTTGACATCCTTCTTCTTGAACCAGTCTTCGCTGGAAATGAGTTCGAGTGGAGCGCTCATCTCCTCGTTTGTGTGTTGCTCGCAGAAAACCTGCTCCTCCTTGACGCTTCGACCGGCCTCGCGCCATACGAAGGCGCACTTCTTGACATAAGGTACAAGCGGGTCCCAGCTTTCCTCTTCGCCATTCTTCTGTGAGACGTAGGCTACAGTATGACAGTCTTTGTCACCAAGCTTGTCGCAGTTCTTTCCGCCCATCCAGATGATCCAATCCTGCTGTTTGGGATGGAACTGCATGATCTGCAGCCTTTCCTTGTTGGGCATAACGGGTGCCTGGTGAGAGCGGATGCTGTCATGACGTCCACGATCTGTAGAGTAGTAAAACTTCTTGCCGGCGGTTAGGAAGTAGACCCTGTTGTTGTCGTACTGATGAGGATAGATCCGAACGACCTCATCATCGACGGCCTTCTTCCACTTCTTTCCATGGTCGTGAGTGATGTAAGCAGTTCGCTCGTCGGTCAACATAACGACTGTTTCGTCCTTGTCCCGGTCATTACCCTCAGGGTCACTCTGGGTGTTACCCTCGAGGTAGTATTGCTCCAAGAATTCGCCTCCCTTGAACCTGGTGATCTCGCTGGTAATCTTATCACTCTTTGGTGGTGGCTTCTCTGCGTCGTCGCATTCGCGCTCAACTTCCTTGTCTCTGTCCGTTTCGCCCTTGCATTGGTCGCCGGGTATCTTCCTCCATCCCGACTTACCCTTGTATGTCTTCGCGTCACCCTCACAAGCGCCGCTCGGTAGGCGGAATGTGTTGTCGGGCTCGCACTTTTTCTCCTTGCCTTCTCCAGTGGGCGTGAAACCGAAGTCGCATTCGTAGTCCCTGTACATGTCACAATCGCATGGCTTGAAGCTTGGTGTAGGGTCTTTGAAGACCTCACCAACGAAGCACTCGGCGTCCCACTTGCGCCTGCGGAATAACTGCTTGTGGCCCATGACACAGCTCGGGTCACCGTCCGCATCTTTGCGCACAGACCATTCATCGTCAAAGTCGCTGTCGCCGCATTTCTTCATCATATCAGTGAAGTCGAGGTGGATAATGACATGTTCTCGGCCGCCACCTTCCTTCTTCTTCTTGGATGCGTACAGCATGAACTTCAAGCTCGTCGAGTCAGGTAGGGTCGTAAGTTCGCGTGCGCGGATCTTGTAGTCAAGCTTGATCTTCTGCCAGGTATCCTTTCGTCCGTGCTTGAATGAGTACCTGATCTCGTCGGTGTCGCCTTCGTCAAATACGGCTACTAGAACGGAGCCCTGGTCGCCGAACTCGTACTTGTGCGCCTCCTCAAGTGCCAGCTCCCAAGTGAGACCGGCATCGTCGGAGACGTAAAGATCGCCGTCGGTGTACTTGCCCAGATACTCTCCAGTGTTTCCAACGCCCATGACGATACCGGGTGCTGGGCTCGAAAAGACCCTGCCGCTGTTGTGCAGGTTGGTCACAGAGTGCAGGTGCAACTCGGTGTCCTTGCCCTTGACTGTGAGCTTCTCGAACGATCTGCCGTCATCGAAACTGATGCGCGACTTGAGCTTCTTGCCCCGGCCTGACCTTTCCACCTCCTTCCAGTTATCCACAGTATTGACCAGAACGACACCCTGTATGTTGGCGATCTTCTCGAAGTCGACGTAGCCACCCTCGTTGCGGTTCGTGTGTTCGACGTTCTTGGTGAAGTGGGTTCCGTTTGAATTGCTTGTATAGAGATTGCCCATGTCGACGAACTTGGAAGTCGTGACATCGACCTGTATGCTGTAATTGGTTGATTCGAGGATGGTGTATGCGTTCTCCTCAATCTTGTGGTCGCCAAACTGGGCATGGTGCCATGTCTCGGTGTCCTGGGTTACGTAGAGGGCGAGTTCGCTCGAGTGCTCGGCTTTGGCGGCGGCGACGATGTAGCCCTTGACAGCAGCCATGTTGGCCATGCCCTGGACGGTCCGGCCGGAGGACATGACGGGCTCCTCCTCATTCTTGAAGTAACTGCGCCTGTTAGCTGTTGCCTGCGGTTCTAGCCCGTCGCCACTCACTCGTCGGATATCAGGAGCCTGAAGTCCTTTGACCTGTCCGAGTATTTGCCTCTTGTGATGCACAGTATCCGGTCGTCGTGCTTGTCCTTGCCTTCGAGGAAGCGCTCGGCGCCCTTGGCCCACTGGCACATGCGGCGGTCGTCAACGAGGACCTTGGGCTCTGACTTGAAGCCATCGGTTGTGTAGTATGTCTGGTTTGGGTCAGTCGCTGAATTGCTACAAAGCGTACAGAACACATACTCGTCCAAGACATGGCGCAGTGAAGCAGTTCTCAATCTCGTGGATCATGATCTTCTTGTTATCCTGCGCATGCCAGTTGACCGGTACTTGCGGCGAAGGTGGAAGCTCCGTCTCAAAGCTGTCCCAGTTGTCTCCCCGGTCGTACGTGATCCAATGCTTCTTCTCGCCCAGGACCAGCGCGACCTTGTTGTCATACGGGCTCTTGATTATGCCCAGTCCGCGCAACTCGTCGATCTTGCCCCAGCCCTTGCCGGCATCTTGCGACCGCCAGATGCTCCCCGTCTCGAGTTCCTGGAGTAAGGCGACGCCGGAATCGTCAAAGTACATGAGGTTGACGAGGTCATTCTTGAATGGCGTCACCGCAACGAGCGGGTCCTCTTTCTTCGCGGCGGCGGTGGATGCTAGTGCCAGCAGGGCGGGCAGCAGGAGGCCCTTGTTGTATTTCATGGTTGCATAGAGGCGAGCGTAACCGTGTGTGATGGGGTCTGGTGTCTGCGCAAAGCGAAAGAACAGCTGGCTGCGGGAACAATCACAGCCTCGAAGCTATGCAATGGCAGCCCCGATGACGCTTGGCACTCTGAAACAGTCGATGCGCCGTGGTGGCGTAGGCGTAACCGGCGCGCAAACGTTGCTGTGAAAGCGTAGAAATGGCTGGGAAACAATGCAGGGGAATGCAACAAATTCTAGGTTGCGAGGCGCAGTTGCGCGATGATGGGCTGCCAACTGGACAGATACGTACACAAGCAGCCCTCCCGCGCGTCGTGACGGATTCCGCGGCTTCTCGCCGCACCCACCATCCCTGTCACTCGCTATTGCCGGAAACAGCACGCGACTGGCGCCTTCACCCACGTCTCAGTCATGGACACTTTACTACCACAAACTTCATCATTAATCGTCTTCGAAACATATACTCCGCTTTGGTGACTACGACTACGACTGCGACTACGACTACATGAGCCTGATCCTCCGCGCGCTCACTCGCCATGGATCTACGAACCCTACCTGATCGATCAACTCCGCCGCTCAACACGCCCAGAAACAGTCTGCTTGACGATTCTATAGCTTAGTCAGTACACTTCCAGATTCAACTCATGCACGAGATCTCGTTGGTGAACTTACGGGCGCTTCGAGATTAAAGATACCGCCCCAATCCCACCCTCCAACATTGCAGTGCGGGTACTTCGATGCATCCTGATCTTTGAAGGACACGGTCGCGACATCGCCAAAGGTGATGACTAGATCAAGAGAGTCATACACATTCTCATGCCATGCCAGTTTGCCCAAGTGGACCTCAATTGGATAGCCTAATATCGCTTCACTGCCTTCGATCACGGCAATATCACCGAACCGCACAGCTTCGTAATGACTGTAAGAAAGTGGAGCATGGCTGCTGTTGTCGAACACAGCCAGACTCAACTCAGCAGACCCATCCCCTCTAGTCCACTCCTTGATATGCAGCCTACAAATACCCTGTTCATAAAGTGGACTAGGCGTTGGAGACGGTGTGGTAAGCGATGGTAGCGGCGATGCAGACGTAGACTTTGGCGACCCCGTTGGGTCGCCTGGACAGCGGTTCCAGCTTGGTTGGGTTGAGTATTCGCAGTTGAGCTCCAGAGTGCTGCCTACGGTCATGGTCAATAAGGGTGCCACGGTACCTCCGCAGTTGCAATAGTCCTCGACACAGCGTTGTCCATTGTCTGCAATCACGTAGGCGCACCCTGCGATTCCACTGATACCTGGTCTTGGCACACCTGGAGCTAGCGAAGTTGCGATCGTTGTGAAGGAAGACGGGCCAGTTGTATGAATAGAATTCGGCGTACTTGACGGTGGGTTTGTCGTTGTGAAGCTCACAGTCTGATGGGATGCCCATTGAGTGGAGAAAACGGGCTGCGAACTCTGTTCCGCCCATAATTCCAATGCAGCCCTGCCTGGCTCATGCTGCGGATCGAACTGTAGCATGAACTTGCCATTCAGCCATGAATACTTTTCTGGGTCGCCTCCTTCATGGGGCGGTTTCGCGTGTTGATCCTTACCGTGTTCGCGGTTGTATGCCACAACTATCACATGGTTATCATCATATTCACCCACGTCTTTGAAGACACTGTCCTTCAGGACGCTTCGGATGGCGTTAATATGCTCCGGGTACTCTAGCTTTGAACCGTCTTCAGACTCAGGCGTGATGATAATGACTCGTGGCTCTTCGCCTTGCGCGAAGGCCTTGTCGACGTGACATGCCAACCCCAAAAAGCTCTTTGGTTCCTCGTTCATATAGCAGTTGCTCCTTGACTCCAGAACGTCGAGCACATCAGCCCGAAAGGTACTCCGTTCGCCTTCCTCCTCATCATCTACATGATCATCCCAGGTATTGTACACCCCACGCTCCGGGTATCTCCAATTGACATAAGTGAGAAAAACGGGGTTTTCCCAAAAGTGGGACCACCAGACTGCGGCCTTTGACACGACTAATATAGACGTGCATCCGTACAGATCCACTAGTCCCAAGACCATCTTTTCATGGTCGTATGTACGGAAAAGAGCAGATGAAACGCCGTACATCGTCTCAGCACTACTCCCATGAGGAACAAAGACTAGATTTTTGTTATCCATTTGCCATTTACGCTTCGCTTCAGCAAATTTCGAACGCATGAAGGTGTCAATGCCTTCTTCTGTAGTACTCTCCGGGTGGTCGAGCTGTGCCAAAATTGCCGAGTCGAGGTTATCCGACCTGTTGTATGCGCCGTCGACCGCATTTACACCATATCCTTCCATACTCTCTACATAGATATCCTGAAGGCATGCTATGCAGGACAATGCGCAAAGCTGAAACCGAGGACAGAAGGGCTTCTTCGTATACAATTTTCCTGGTAAGGCACTAACGATTGAAGTTGGCAAAGCGCAAGCCATGGTACTAGAGACACTAGAAGATACCGAAGTGCTGGAACGGGAAGTATCAGTCGATGCATCAGAGCTTGACAGGAGCGTGCCGGCCGATGGCAACGGACTTAGTGACGGCAAAGGCCAGGAGTTTGGTTGAGTCGTCAGAAATGGGATTGAGGTGAGTTCAATTGTAGATTCAGTAACATGTGGCCCATTGCTTGTAGAAGGAAGCGAAGGTGGTGGGGTGGCTGGCCGTGTGTTCAAGGATGGATTCGCCATAAACTTGATCACATCAACAATAGCCGCCATCTGGACAGCTGATGTCGAAATTGCTGTTTGAACGTCCATTGCCCCCTTGATCAACATACCAAACGTATGACTAATGTCTGACGCCATGCCAACAACGCACGAAATCGTTTTGAAGATATCCCCAATGAACGGAAGCCCACTGCTAGACCGTATGCATGAGCCATCTTTCTTGTCATGATCGTCGTGGTCATCCTCGTCGTCTGGGGATGTTCGAGCCATGAGTGAGCCCATCTCTTCCATGAACATGCTAACACCCTCTGCAACCACGGTTTGCTTTGCTGGATCCATACTACTCTGGCTCCAGTCTCGCACAGCTAGCGCCACACCCATCCATCGCAGTGACGCTATCGTCAATGCAGAAGATATCTCGAAACCAGTGGGGTTCAATGTCGGCATAATAGGTGCATTTGAAATGTGTATCGGGATAGGTGTGACTATTGCGCCCCCGGAGAGAAACTGCAGAACTGCAGTCTGCCCCAGGGTCACAGTCGTAATCATCACTAGCGTTGGTGCTGCGAATGGAGCTGTAATGATCGTAGAGAAGACCTGACCACCGATAGTGTATGAGACGATAGGTGCGATGAGAGTTTGCACCGATGTCATGGTAATTCGGGGCGTAGCGGGTGTCGTGGATATCGTGGACTTGCCAGCATGCGACGTCCACGAAGCCGAAGAGGAGTGCTCATCAAGTGTAGTAGAGCTCAAACTTCCTGAGAGCACCACTGATTCGGTAGACGATGAACCTGATGTTTCTTGTTGTGTGGTTCTGGTCGTCAAGAGCGTTTCCAAGCTGGGCGTGTTGGACAAATTGGGATTCAACGTGCTGGTAGCTGTAATAGCCGGTGGCGAAGATACCAGGCTTAGTGTTTTATTCCTGGAATATACTGAAGAAATAGAGCTCCTGCTTGCATGTCCAATGATGGTGCTAGTGTTGGCATAGCCAGATGCATTATCATTTGTCCATTGTGGCGACCCTAATAGAGTAGTCGAGGTGGCCTGTTCCAAGGGGAACGTCTCGGTGATTGTTTTCTGGCTCTTTATTGAAGTCAGGGTTGTGTTAACGATGGAGTGATTCTCCATCGCGTGTGTAGGGTCCGTGAACGAGCTCGCGGTAGAGGCATTTGACCAGGATATAGAGTTCGACATTGTAGTGGTCTCGGAAAGAGTAGACGTGACAGAAATTGGAGATACGAAGACCGAAATGGCGGAGGGCGACATCGCCAAGATCAGCAATCCTGCTATGATCTTGAAAGAAGACATTATCAGTACTGTCGTAAAGTGCTCGAAGATGTGGGAAGCCTGGATAACGAGTCTTTGTCCTGTGCAGTCAACGGTTCTTACCGCAATACCAGGAAGCTTTTATAGCTCGAGCAGGTCCCTATGGCTGCTCACCGGAACAGTTGACGAAGACGGTAAAATTGACCAGGCCCGCCACGTAGTTGCACTGCTGCTCTCCAGCAAGGGCCGTGCCTGACAATAAAGTGACAGTGATACCTTTTCTTTGCGATCGCAAGTCCCATCGTATCGTCGCAAAGAAGACCGAATAGTCAACAAATGAACGCAAATCTGTTGCAGGAAGAAGAGGTCAATGCATGCGTAGTAACATCGCCAGGTTGACACTTATCAGCAATGGGAACATCGCACTCGGGAGTCTTCGGAAATATCTGTGATATCAGCCAAAAAGGTCGCGATGGTATTACAACAACTGCGACCCGATGTAGTCACCCGCACGTGTACTCGGAAATGCCGGTCACTCGATCCCATTTCGTAAGAGGAAAAGGTGAGCCGAATCGAACGGCCTTAATGAGCCGTTGCGCAAGATATGTGCTAAGTCGGTAAGTTTCCCATTTTGTCGCGAGAATGTGCTGCGGATGATGGTCTCCACTGATCTGAGGACAGCTTCCGTGGCACGACACGTGCACGCGGGATCGAACGCGTTGGCTCTGGGTAGCTCCTCGCATGGCGCACGCAGCTGTTGGAAAGAATAGAGTGCGCCTTTGACTCAGACTGCGGTCTGGTCCTGGGTTGGGCTAGGTCTTTGAGATGGTACTTTGGTATACGGTATGATTGCAATAGCTTTGATGGCTCAGCTGTTGGAGTGGTCGCGTGCATGTATCAATCATGCATGTTAAATGCAGGCATGCCTCGTAAATGAAGGAAGTTGACTTGTCGCGACGCGTGCCAACATTGAAGTTGGCGTGTTACTGGGGAAGCAGCGCGTCGGCGTCAGCGCTACCTAACTTGAGTGGCTTTAGCGTGCCAAGAAAGCTTTCCGGGGCTCGGGGTGTCTCCACTGTTGCTTCCGCATCCCAACTCTTCTCAGTCACGGCGGCCTTGCGCCTGGCTCAGGTGTGCAACAAGCTCTGAGAAACAGGTCGATCGCGGCGCCTGAATTTCTCACTGCGAGGATGCATTAATACGTCTATCTTCCAACGACACTTAAACCACGCTTCCTCGGAAAGGCCCTTCAGCTGCCCAGGTGCATGGCCATGCATCTCGCAGGCGCCACCGATGACTGGAAGCTCCCACCTTGTGCTGGAAGTCCTATGAGCTTCGTCTACAGCCACTCCGTACTCGACTCCGGCTGTTCCGGCGGCTTTTCTTATGCACTCAACTAGCAATATTGATGAAGCCGGTAAGACGTCTGCTGCATGCAGTCCGTCAGGTCATACTTAAGGCCTACCTTGAGCCTTCCTTAAGTCTGCTACCTATCACCCCATCCTCGCCATGACTCGATTGATCAATATATTGGTGCGCTCTCTGTATTCGTACGTCACGTTGGAAACTGCCGAGGGCAAAATTACCCCAAATCATATTGAGCTGATCAGAGATGTTGCAATCATCGGCGGAGGCGCATCGGGGACGTACGCCGCCGTTCGACTTCGCGAAGACCTGAACACGAGCATAGTGCTCATCGAGCCCAGACCAAATCTGGGTGGTCACACTAGCGCCTACCACATTCCCGAAACAAACATTTCGATTGATTACGGAGTCCAAAGCTATATACCTTACGGACCGGCTATCGATTTCCTTACACGCTTTGGGATTGATACGGTGATCCCCACTAATCAGAGGTTGACGGCACTCAATATCGACGTCAAGACGGGTGAGGAACTGGAGGACTACAGCGCCCCGAGTACAAATGCAACCAACGAAGCATTGCAGCGATGGCTTGCGATCACGTCGAAGTACAGGGATATATTGGAGCCCGGCCTTTGGCAATTTCCGCCTCCAGCAGATATCCCTGAAGATCTTCTTACGCCATTCGGTGAATTTGCCAAGCTCCATCAGTTGGAAGCCGCCGTTCCACGGATAGTGGTGATATCTGGTGTGGGCTATGGAGGCATCCGCAACCTTTTGACGCTCACCGTCTTACAGGCTTTTGGGGCCTCACTTACGGAAGGTCAGTCGATGTTGCAGGCTTGTTCACAAATTGAGACTCTCTTTCGCTGGGGGTCTTAGCTTACTGTTCTTAGGTCTATTGAGCGGCACACTTTTCAGACCCGTTGGCAATAACGGTGTCCTCTACGAACGCGCGCTCGAGCTCCTTAAGCCGGACGTACTATTATTGAGCACCGTTCACGATGTGAAGCGAACCAGAAACGGGATAAGGCTATCAATCAAACAGGACGATACCAGCTACATCATCAAGGCACGTCGCGTTCTGTACACCGCAGGCCCAAGCCTGGAAAATCTGGCTTCTTTTCATCTCGACAATAAGGAAACGGCTGCCTTCTCGAATTGGATCAAAGAGGCCAACTTCGTAGGAATTTTGAAGGCGCCTTGCTTGCCAGAAAACTATTCCATCACGTATTTGCCTTCGGCAGCGGTACCGGCTGACCAGCTTGCGATCAAAGACTGGTCACACAGTCTGCGTCTAGACTCGACAGGGCCTGCAGGCCAAGGTCTCTTCCGAGTCGTCTTTGGCGCCAACTACACGATATCTCCGGAAGCCTTCACAAACATAGTCTTGGAAAGCGTCAAAGGAATACAGGATGCTGGAACTGTCCCCGCGGATTGCGAAGCGGAATTTAAAGCGCTTTCGGATCATAGCCGCCCTTGGTGGCCGCGGTCAGCTGAGCGGTTTCGAGCAGGTTTTGTTCAAGACTTATATGCACTGCAGGGATATAGAAATATGTGGTGTACTGGATACGCTTGGGGAGCGCAATACAGCTCAACCGTTTGGGCATTTACCGACACAGTCCTCGAGAGACTCACAAAGGATATGAAAAGCGGGACCTAATCCATTGCTTCGGTGCGTATGCAATTGGACGAGGATGAAATATCTCTGCTGTGGCTGGCCGTTTCGGTGAAGGTTAAGAGATCTTATGGTTTTGAAAGCTGAGCGCGCAAGAAATTTACACAAGCCTCGTTGATGCGACAAGACTATTGTTGTCCTAACACACATGGTCTGCTCTCTACTACAGCGTTTATCAGAGCCCTTTAGGTTTGGGAAAAGGTTAATCAATGCCAACGCGCTATCCTAATGCCACTATATATGATGAATGACCACGAAGCGAACATTCATGTGTCTTAGGGCTTAAGCTCTGCGTATACCCGCGATCACGTGGTGTCCCAGCGACGATCGGCGCGTGTAGTTACAGAAGCAAGCGGATACAGCGCCCTGCCAGCAAAAGCGCCGAACCCCAATTCCTTTAATCGCCAAACTCCAGTCGTGTCCGCGATATCTGGAACAGCGTACGCTATTTTGAGCACGACGAACACGTAAAATGTGCTGAACAGTCACGTTGAAGACGAGGACGGAACACGATTACTGCCGCCGCCAAATCGGCATCGTCATTATATACCCAACCAAAGTACGCCCCAAAATCATTGCTACCGGATTATTACGAGACGAGTTCAAATGGACCAGCGCTACAACTCAAACGTGCAGATGCTGGAGAAACAAGGAAAGTGATGACGCTGGGGTCGGTCACCACCGGCAATTCGGTGCGTGATTGGATGGACCCGCCGGGTTCCTGCAGCAGTCCCCGCCGGCTTCGGGCTGGCCCACCTTGCTCTTTGTGCTCTCCTGTTTGCATGAACACCAACGTGTTATCACCGCTGTCCTCAATCTCACTGGAAATTCACCATCTCACTATCGTTTGCACCGAACTCGTGCACATCGTTCATTCAACCCTCCCTGCCTGCCAACGCGAATCACATGCGAGATGGTCAGCCCCCGGAATCGCCGGATTGTTCGTGAGGAGTCCGAGAGCTCCTCAAATATCTCCTCGCAGACGACCACTAGTTGTGGACGACTCCGATTCGGGATCTGACGATGTTTCGCCCACAACACACAAAAGAGTGCGTCGTGTGGTCCTGGACGACGACGACGACGACGATGAAGAAGACAACGAGAGCGATCCGTCCAATCTTCCAGCTACATCTCAGCCACCAGAGAAGGGCAGAGATCACGAGTTACTTTTGAGCAGCCTTGCAGCAAGCCAGAAAGCATCCCCATCTCAGCTACCGACTCTACCTGCCGAAGTCCTTTTGACCGTCCTTGACAACGCCGACCCAGCGGACATCTTGGACCACCGGCTCGTATGCAAAGCCTTCAAAGAAGTGATTGACACGTCTGTGCTTTATTATCACATCCAACGTGTGGAGTTGGTTGGCTATCTCGGACCGAAAGAAGGTCAACTCATGGAGCAACTCAATGCGCAAGAGATTATTGGGACTTGGCATTTGTCCACGCGACTTTCGAACGTCTAGACGAGCGCGTGGGCAACCAAGCCGTATGGAATCCACAAAATGCGTACTTTCGCATCAAGGAGTCCTGGTATGACACGTTTGTCCGCAGTATCGGCGAGATTGAACCCGACAATCCGTGGTGGCACCATACCGTACAATGTCTTGATCTACGAAAGCCATCTTCAGTGCACGGGCAGCTACGTTGGTGTGTCAAAGTAGGCCCAACGGTTGTGGATTTTGGCATGGCAGGCGAGCAAGACGTGGATATTGAACTGGTGGAGCGCGAAGACGAAGACACCATCATTGTCCGGGTTACGAATTGGAAGCGTATGCTGAAGAATGTCTTTCGAGAAGAACGAGCTCTGAACCTGTTACTCAAAGACACCGAAGAAGACGAATTTACATACAGCCATCTAGAGGACGCCTTCGAGACACGCGACGTAAGCGCTATCGTTCGAAGTTGAATCCATGTAACAATAAGCACGGTAGAGACATTTGGAAGATGGACAACATGACCCCATTATGGGGCAAATACTCTTCGATGACCGTTGTCCGGGACTACGAAGATGTGGAACTTGCCGAGCGCAATGCCGCTCAAACCCTCATGCTCTTGCGAAGAGAAGCTTCAATGTCATCTCGGGAACGAGATGCATTGTACACAATGAAAGAGGAAAGAGCTATAATGCACAGGGAAGTGGCGGAGGTCGACGAGCAATTCAAGAAATGGCAGGAGAGCTTGCTCGGGTTACCAAATCTAAGCCTAGGTCGTATGGAAATCGATCATGACGTTGATCCCAATCCGATGACTTGGTCCAAGGAAGTCGTGGATCGCGAGAGCCAAAACCTGATAAGGTGGAAGGCTCAGAAGCAAACCATCGCGCATATCAAAGCCTACCTGGATGCTACGAACGCCGCAGCCATCTTAGCCGAGGACGACTTCGATGACGAAGACGAAGACTTCTGAGCATTCGCCATGCTGTGACACAGCAACCATACCTCTGTCCACGGCCATGCCGACCTATCGCTCTGCGTCCACGCCTCATACTGGAACCCGTGCAGCTAAGCCTGTTCTGTATAGTCGCATGCATCGACAAAATTGCAGAATAGGTTGTCTGTTGGTGCTGATTGTGTGTTTGCGCCAAGCCGGCTCAAGTGTCCAGGACTCCAGGTGGTGTTCGGCCCCACCTCGACAGCCACCAGGGAGGCCCTTTCCACCACGATGCGCACGGCAATCCTTCCTAGACATTGCGCCAGCCCCGCGCGATAAGACCTGTTCGCATACCATGTACTATCAAATGGTGCTCTAGCGCATTTCTGCAGGCATATCTTGCCAAGATCGCAAACGCCGGATGAAGCTATGTCGACCGAGGATGGGGCGGAAAGTGCGGGCATCGCAGTAGCTTCTCTATATATAGTGAGGATGCTTACCAATGATGCGGATCAGGCTCGGAGTATGGACACCGAGAGGTGAATGCAATCTAGAGCTTCTGCATGGTCTTGCCGATCATCTACTACGCTTGCTCCACGAGGCACTCTTGGCCGATCTGCCATGAACATACTGCGCCGCCACCTTGCTTATCGCCAGCATCCTCCATTGTTTCCAAGACAATCAGTGCCTAATACAAGGGCCTCGCATGTGGCAGGTAATCTTTACAGCGTGACTGGCGAATAAGAACCAGTACGCCTGCACCACAAAGCTGCATCGATGTGGCAGTGTGTGAGCTGAACCCCAAACGTGGGCATGGCGGCATAAGCTTACCATTTCTTGAGAGCGGGTTGTCTGTGCTTATCACGCTTGGAAGGAGCGGCACTATACAGCGGCTGACCAAAGCGGAAATCCCTTATATATTCATAGATATCTAGGTTACTCAGACCTGAGCATTTCGCCGCATTGTGAAACACTGCAGTTAGGGCTCATCTTCGGGTACTACCTGCTTCAGCCTCAGCCTCAGCCTCGCGATGGCGTACCAGCAACTACCCAAATTACAGCACAACGTGGAAGTGACGCCGGTCAACGAGGACTACACTCCGCCTTCGTCCACCCTGCAAAACTATGAAGAGATACGAGACTTCGATTTCAGCCCCACGAGTCCACGTTCGACTGTTAAATCACCTTCTATCAAGAAGCATGTAACGCATTGGAGTTCGTCTACCAACAGCACGGCTGTGACGTCGTCGGAGGTATGTAGTACAAAGTCTGACAGCAAGGCTGGCGCGTCCCGTGCGCGGTCTTGGGCTTTCGAGATCATGGCTGTCGCAATCGGGCTGGGTGCTGTCGCCGCCATTGTCGGCGTGGTAGCCAAATACAATGGACACGCATTGCCAGACTGGCCTTACAGCATAACTTTGAACGCTCTCATTGCCCTGTTGGCTACTTTTGCAAACGCTGCAATGTCGGTTTGCCTGTCGAGTGGACTATCGCAGGCGAAATGGATCCGTTTCAAGCAGACATCGGCTCCATTGTCTGACATGGAGGCCTTCGATGACGCTAGTCGTGGTTCGTGGGGCTCTATCAAACTGCTGGCGACTGCCAGAGGAGGGTACGTTTCTCAGCTCAAGACATGGTTGACAGATGCCTGACGAATGCTTGATCAGATTTCTCGGGTCTTTCGGCGCTATCGTCGCTGTTATAGGTCTCGCCCTTGGGCCTTTCGCGCAGCAGATCGCAACCTACAAAATCCGTAACGTGGAAAGCGACTTTGGCGCCATCATGCCTAGAGCCCTCAACTTCACCCCTGCGTTACCGGGTAACACCAGCACGAGTAAGTAGCATTGAGCGCATTTCGATATCATTCGTTGACGTAGGTTTCTAGCGGGTTTCGTGCCAATTCTCCCACTTAAAGCCGCAGTCTACAACGGCTTGTTCGCGGAGAACAATAGACCTGCTGCGTCACTACCATTCAAGTGCCAGAGTGGTACCTGCACCTGGGAACCCTTCGAGACGCTGGCTATTTGCCATGAGTGCACAGACATCACTCCGCTCATGACGCGCTACTGTCCACCTGAATTGGGTGCATCGCCAAACATGTCCTCATGCGGATGGCAAGTACCACAGGGAGCTCATCGTAAGTTTCGCATTTGCAAACTGTAAATTGGCGGGTACTTATTGCTTACACTGTTTTTTTAGTCAACACGAGCTCCGATGTATTCAGTATGACATCCTTCATCCCGTCGGCGTATGGCGACATGCCCCACTCCACGATAATCCGACTCATCTTCATGGGTACAGAGCTTCAAGATACACCCAACGCTCTGAACCCTTGGGCATCACAGTGCAGCCTGCAAGCATGTGCAAATACGCTGTCCGCATCGGTCACAAACGGTACGCACCAAGAGAATGTCACGCACTCTGTTCTCAACCACACTGTCATCGACATGAGCTCCCCCGATCCTGCCGCCGACTATGGTGTTTACATCACTGGCAAGTCTGATGACACTGCGTACTTGCTTGGCATGGAAGCGCTTTTGAGCATACGCGGATGGTTTAGTGCAATCTTTACCAACGGTTCCGCCACCCGTACGACTAGCGATTTCACCCGAAGTGTCACCGATCCAGACCGCGCCGTAGTTGTCAATCTCACAGTCGGTATCTCATCAGGCGAGACTTTCTTCGACACGGATATTGTCACCGCGTTCTACTGGAACTACTACGAGTACGCCGATGGACTCAATATGCTAATGAGCGACTTGGCCGTATCGATGACAACCGCTTTTCGCGGCTTCAATGGCGCTGTTGATACGAACGGCAAGTCGATAACGGTAGAATCCTATGTCCACATCCGATGGGGTTTTGCTGTCTTACCGATCGCGGCTGTCGTGGCCACTTTGATCTTCTTGCTCGCGACGATGACGATGACGCATACGTCTGGTACGCAAGTGTGGAAAAGCAGTGCGCTTGTGCCGTTGTTACACGGCTTGGATCATCATACTAAGGAGAGGTTCGGTACTAAAGACAGTTTGCCAGCTCAGAAGAGACAGGCAAGAGCGGTAAAGGTCAAATTGTTTACTGATAATCGGGATAGCACAATGCTTGGAGCAGAGAAGGCTGCATGCTAGTTTGAAAGGCGATGTTGATCATGCTTTGATAGGCAAAACAACACCTCACTCAATACAATCTTTGGGTTATACCCTACTTTCGCGATCAATATCCTTGCTCTTCCCCCCCTCGCTACTGATGTCACTTTCTGTGTCGCTGAGCAATCCATTCCATGCATCATCATCAACGCTATCCCTATCGTCTTCTCTTCCAACGTCCTTGTCTACCTTGACGTTTACGAACAACATCCATAGTCCGATATCGTAGGTGATCCTACAGATACTCGTAGCCACGAAGGCCACCCAGAAGTTATCACTTCCGGAGAGGAAGCCTGTGATTGATGGCCCGACGCTCATGGCTAACGTGCGCAGCATACTAGTGATTCCCATGACACCTGTACGCTCTTCAGGCTTCACGACCGCTGCGATGAAAGCTGTACGCGGCGCTTGATCCATGCTATTGAGAGAAGCTCGGAATAGCAGTAGGCCCACAGTCCAACCGACTTTTGAAGGTAATGGGATGAAGCCGCTAGCGATTGATGATGGGAGATGAGTGAAGACCATGGTGTTGATGAGACCTATGCGTTTGGCCAATGGTCCGGCGAAGATAGCCCCAACTGCGCAGAGAAACTGCGAAGCCGAGGTAATATCCCCAAGCGTAGACTTTGATACGTGGAACTTTTGATCGACGTAGTAGTTCATCAAGGAGTAAGGTGTCATGCCGTCTGCTAGACTGTCAACAGCTAAGAGAATCCAGAGCTTGTACATGACGGATCGTGTACTCTGCGAGATCTGACTAAAGTAGCTTGCTTTCTTTTGCGATGGCGGGTTCCTGACACCCGCTGGTCTTCCTACGTGCTCGCGGTCTTGGTCGAAACCGCCCGTGGTGCTGGGTGTCATCGCCTCCAGTAGCACTTCTTCCTCTTCGCCATGGCCCCCACCACGTCCTCGCTCTTGCATCTCCGCCCGCTTCTCACCTGCAGCCTCGCATCTGCTACTCAAACCCAGACAAAGGATGCTACCAAGCACTCCGAAGGCTGCATAGCCCCAGAACAGGGCATGGTATGCCTTGGTCACATTACTGCTGCTCTTCTCGAGAGCATTCACCGTTCTCCCTGCGACTTCTGCGCCAATGGCCCCTGCCAATGTTGTCGCCGTGACATACCACGAGAGTACATCGCTTCTTGTTGTCTCGTCTGTTAGGCCACTCAACATGCTCTCCTCGACAGCCCTAAAAGGACCACAGTCAGCACCGGTGACAGAAATGATGCCGAACACCGCCGCAACCAGAAGAATGAAGAAGTTTTCCGACAGCGCAAATGCGACGCCTGAACAAGCCATCATCACACTACCCATGAACAGAATCCTTCTCCTGCCTATTTTGTCCGCCACGAGAGTAAGCAGCAATGACAGTAGGACATCTCCGAGCAATGTCAATGTCATGAAGACCCCGATCCTCGAATCCGGAAATTTGAGCGAGGAGAAGAAGAGGGCGAGAATCAGCGACGGAATGCCGGCCGTGAACATTCTCAACGATCGCAGTGTGATGATGATGTATGCATCCCGTCCAGTCGCGTTGAGTGATGTGATGCCGAGAAATCCAGCGATCCGCGATATCGCCGTGGGAGCCATGGTGGCAATGCTGGACTGTGCCGCGTGTTGGATCAGAGAACGCAAGTTGACGCTTCGTAAGAATGCTAACTCAACATCAACTGCTTATAGATGTCGAGAAGAAAAGATGAAGAGAAACGGAAAAGCACGGAAAAGATCTCATCCCACAAAAGACTGGTGACCACCCGCGTTGCTAGTGTGGGCGTTAAACCCGAGACGGGTTTAAGCTTGGAAGCTACATCTTGCCTGACTCACCTGTGGCGCTGCCTGCATATGTGCGTCGCCATCAAAGCGCGTTCTAGATCATTTTTGAACGACCTAAATAGCGTTACTAGACATTTGCTGTGCTGGTTTGGAGATGCTGCGCGGCCGAGTCTGCCCCACGGTAAAAGTGGGGCCATGTTTCGTCATCGCCAGGCTCCTACGCTTTCGACAGCGCGTCGCGTGCCTACAACAACAGTGTTACTCACACAATACGTGAAGTGAAAGAATCTCAAGCAAACAACATATCGACAACGACAGATCTGATTAGTCTTCGTAGGCTTGTGGGTTCGTACGCGTAGTCGAGGGAAATACTTCATTACAATGTCGCGTTCCATTATCGTCGCCGTGGGCAGTCGTTCCTCACGCGATTAGATGCTCACCTACGTCAAGTGAGGTGACACGGTGAGGGTGACTAGTGAAGGGGAGAGTAGAAATTGATACAACAATACCTAGATAGGAAATCTGCTAGCCCAACGAGGCTTTGCAATTCCACTCCTTGGGCCACACCCAGACACTCCAGGGCTTTTGTTCTTTTTCTACCACCCCACCGAGCCTATGGCTACTGCACGATCAGGAAAAGAATTCGACTCGAATTCCGGTGTTCAACAACAGTACGCTCAGTCGGCTCACCACAAGCACAACTCAATCACCGACATGTCTCCCAAGGATATGTCATTCGCAAAGGCATTTGACGAGCTCTTACCACTCGAGATCAAGCAGATGATCTTCAAATGGGCAGCGAGCGACAACAGCAGCGACATTCAGATCAGGCTTTTGCACGATAACGAAGGCCAGCTTCATGCACCAGCTGTCGACCTCCTCACGAAATTGAAGGACCAGTACTCAACCAAGGCGTATCATCAGGCCGTGGAGTATCTTACAGGATCAACGTTTCGGTGGACCTTCAGCAGCGATACACAGCCACATCGATACCTTCTCCGTGCTTTCCGAAATTCGGTCCCAATGGAAGTTCGACAGCGAATCAAGCATGCCTATCTGCCTCGGGTCACCGTGTATGGTCTCATCAATCCGGCGACTCAGTCCACAAGCTTCGAGAATCTGCGCATACACAATCCGTCTATACCGATACCCTATTCTGATTACTTCACACGACTGGGCGCGATGACATCCTTCAACTGGACCTTGATGGTTGTGCAAATCAAGAAGGACATCACAGGGGGTATGCAGCTGCTACCAATTGCACTTCCTTCGCTCAAGAAACTGGCGATTGGTCTTGACCCAATCGACTGTTTAGAAAGACACCCAAAGCAAATCACGCACCGTGACATTCGACCTGACGATTTGAGTTCGCGGATCACGTGGGGACCGCTTCCAGGTGGGTTTGGGGCGCTTGCAAACCTCACGGAAATCGCCAACCTCGATATCCGCGTCATCTGGTATGACTTCCTTGACAAGAAACGGAATTTCGCAGGATTCAGTGGGGAGATTGAGAAAAAGGCCCACGTCTTTCTTATGGAGACGTTCTGTCTGAGTCTTCCTGCTGCGAGGAGCATTGTCGGCTGTTCAGACAGCTCTTCCGTCTGACCGGTAGCCTTTGCTTCACTCGGATGATTAAGGGACATGCTGAAACGCTGCGGTCATCATCGAGGTGCTTGGATGCATTGGTCACGGCTTGGAGATCAGGTCTTTTTTCTTTAGCGCGTCACGTGGAACAATGCGGAATAGGTCACTTATACGGCCATCCCAGTTTTACGGACTGCAGGGCGAGATGCGAGCGCTGCAACAGTTTAGCGGCCGACTGGGGCGGTATGCGCCTTACAGTTTGGGTCAGCATTAAGGGCCATCTCGGGCATAACTGCGACATTCCCGACGGCCTGCAATTGTGTTCCACTTCCTTGTCACCAGGGGACTCGAGTTAATGAAACATCAGCTAGCAACAGGGAAAGAACAACATGGTTCATTTTCATTTGAAGAGATGAGTGGCACAGCGAAGTATGTAGTTATCTCCAAATGTTCGTAGTGATTGGCCTATAACATACTGCGTGATATGCCAAACCGTCCCATCATATGCAAGCCAACGTCTGGTCTGTGACTTCCCCTGAAGTTCAGCTACCCGCCTAGTATCCGTACAAGTTGACACGCTCATTCGTCGACGCCTTGAGCCTCTGGTTCTCCTTGATGAGCATCACGCGAATCGCCCATGCACAAGCGATCGACAGCAGCGCGAATCCAGCAGATGCACCGAATCCAATTCCGTATCGAGGCTTGTCGGTGTCTGGCCAGAGGTAAGCACCGTAGATGTATCCGATCTGGCCTCCGACGTTCGTCATCGCCAACACGACAGCTTTCTTCTCTTTCGTCTGACTGAGGGTCGAAGACGCCCAACCGATGATGACAGAGTTGACGGAATAGGCGCCCATGGGAAAAATGAAGCAGGCAACGTATCGACCCGCTGTGTTCATCGTGCTGGCAGCGATGACGAATCCGACAATGGCGACTAGTAGTCCACCAGTGATGTGCCAGGTGCGTTCATGCATACGGCCTGAACTCCAGCCTGTAGCGATACCTGCGGCGCCGGCAAGCAGGAAGGGAGGGCAGGTCAGTAGGAGAGTAATCGTTGTATTGAAACCGAGGGTCTTGATGACACTACCATCATTGTCAGCGAGCTTTCTCGTGAGTATTCGAATGTACTTACGTTGGGAAGAAAGAGTTGAACGAGCAAGCACTGAGATGGAAGTTCTGCATGAGACAGAACAGCCACGTCCTCTTGTCGCGGCACGCCTGCCTCAGTCCCTCCATCATGCTGACAGGCTCGGTGGAATCGCCGACTCGGTCACGCTCCATACGTGCATGGGCGAGTTCACGCTCCCGTGGATTGAGCCAGCTCGTGGTGAGTGGGGTGTTGGGAAGCATGAAGAAACCCCAGATGGCGACCAATGCGGTCACGGCTCCTTCGCTGTTGATGGGTTAGCGTGATGTATGTTCAGGCAAGAGAAGGTAGACTTACATGATAAATAGCCAGCGCCAGCCTGAGATACCTCGGGCACCATCCAGTTGGAACACACCGGCCGCGATCAATCCACTGAAACCTGTAGCCAGAATCTGCGCACAGTATAGCAACGCGATACGTGTCGCAACTTCTTTTCTGGTGTAGAAGATCGAGAGCATATATGTAGCTCCAGGGTAGAAGGGCGCCTCTGTAATACCCAGGAAGAACCGACATGCGACCAGTCCGCCGAAGTTCTGAACCAGCGCTGTGCAAGCTGATACGATGGCCCAGATGAACATCCAACTGCTCATGTAGATACCGGGACGAATCCTCGTAATAAGCATGTTACTCGGAATTTGCATAAGCACATATCCCACAAAGAGACTACAATACGGTTAGCCTGTTCATCAATATTGCTCATTGGCTTCGAGCCAGTCTCAGGTAATACTAACATGCTAACACAAGTGTTGAACTGGACGCCAGACATTCCCAAGTCCTCTTCCAGATTATTCAACCTAGCTTGAGCGATGGCATTACGGTCAACGTAGTTGAGGAAGTACATGACACATAATGTTGGCTACGATAACATTAGCAGCTGTGTCCACATCGACGTTCGCAATACGTACCATCAGTCTCCAGTCAATCTTCCTTACGAGCGCAATCTCTTCTGGGTCTGTCTTCGCCTCTGCACCGGTGTAGTCCACAGCACCAGCATGCTTATCTGGACCAAGCTCACTCTTGTCTTCCAAGTGCGCCACGATCGTGGGCTTCTCGTCTGTCGGCTCGACTACGGGTTGGCGTTTTGTATCCATTTTGGCTGAAACTTTCGAGCGTCTCTCTCGAAAAGGTCAACAGGTAGAACGTACCGACATGCAGAGGGCATGCGCTTTCCTTTTGAATGCATGATGGGTGGCATGGTATGTTCACACGCATGTTCCAATCAACTGCTTGGCGTGGTATTGGCACAGGATCTCACCAAGACTTTTCCCCGCACCGTGCTACAATATAGCAAACATGCGCGCTCCGCTTGTTCAGCCACTAAGCTTGGCCTGCAGATCTTATCGTAATATACTGTCAGAATGAACACTATCCAAGACTTCTCGGTCGCATTTTTGACGCCGATCAGCAGATTATGTGTGCGATTCCTAGTTCTAGGTTCGCAAGCGGCGCCCTTTGGCTGGGAATCTGGGGAAGAACTGGAGCCGACAACGTGCTTTTTGTGGAGAGATAGCGAACTATTGGCGGCGTTGTTGTGCGCTGTCGCATAATGTGTTCCGTTGGCGGCTGGCGGTAAGTTCTCCAGCTGGGAGGTCATACCGGTCGGAAGCGGTGCAACGGTTGGCGGACGTCACGCGATCGCATGTCCCCGTGGTTCGCGCGACTTGCTTTTGTCACGTTGCAGAACATGTGAGCTCCGAATGCGCGCAAACGTAGTATTCTGGTATATAGCCCATCAATCAACTGAACAACGTGCGTTACCTTACTCGTGTAGATGCCCCCGTCTATCCAGGACTCTAGGTGTCACCCCAATTACCCGGAGGTTGATAAGTCACCGTCCCATTCCGCTCCTAACAAATATGGCCGAACTTATACTCTACCTGCCCGTTTCTAATTGCCGGAAAGACGCCAGCGTCGATAAGTCGGAATGCGTCCCATTCAGCCGCACCCTCCGTCTTGAAGTTCCACCAGAACCAGCCCTGAGTCTTGCTCTCGAAAGCGGCGATCTGGGCTTCAATGTAACGTCGGCTGTCGTCCTTGTAGGAGGCTGACCACCGTGATAGGTCGTTTTGCCAATCGCAAGATCCAATCCTGGAGCTGCCTGGGAGGGTTCCATCGTAGCGGGCGCCACGGTCGAAGCCGTTGAGGTACTTTGCGCAATCCCTGGTACACGTTAGTAGACGTCTCATAAACTGTAAGAATGCGGACTGCTCACGTCATAGCCGATGTCCACTCGCCAACAAACGTCCATTTGTCCGCACCGCCGATAGTCTGAGAGTTGCTGCAAGCGTAGCGTGCGTGGTCCGCGGGTGACATGCGGAGGAGATTGCTGTCAAATACTTGATATTCGTGGTGGTCAACCGCGACGTTTACCGCGTTCGCATCCGAAGGAGTGAGGAAGCCGTTCCACGTGTTCGGAGGCTTGAACCCGTCGTGAATGATCACAGGGGTGTCGGAAACCTCACGAACCTGACCGTACCCATCGCGATAGAACTGCCTGGTCACGTCTTCGCTGATGCCAGTGTACAATGCGGGCTCGTTGAGTAGTTGGATACCGACGACGACGTCCTGGTACTCTGTCCGAGCATACTTTTGCGAGATTGTTCGTAGAACCTGGACAGTCTGCTTTACGGTGTCGCCGCGTTGCCATCCAGGGTAGTCCATTCGTTGACCGGAGTTGTCGAATCCGTTTTGAGAGCCTGGTGCACCATGGAGATCGATGATGATCTTCAGCCCTAGACTTCGAGACCAGTCGATGGCAGCGTCGATGTAGACACTCGCACCGCTGACGTAAGGTGTACCAAAAGTGTCGTATGCCCAGAACCCGATGGGGATACGAACGACATTGAAGCCTGACTGCTTGATCTTGTTGAAGTCGTGCCATGATACGAACGAGTCCCAGTGCTTCCGTAGAATGCTTCCCGCCGCATCTCTGCCAAGCTTCTCGCCCAATGTGTATTCGTCAACGATGTCCCTCTGCGGACGGCCTTGGTTCGCTCCATCAAAGATAGAAGGCGTAATCCAACTGCGTAGAGATAGTTAGCAACACTACTGGGTGGCGATTGGTGACGAAGATTCTCGGGAATACGTACGGTTCCAAGACCAACCATCCACCAATGTTAACACCACGAATCTTGTCAGACCCCCACTTGAAGTCGACACCGCGCTTCTCTCTTTAGATGGGTTAGCTGTTGCGTCATATGTGCGTTGGGACGAAAGGAGTGTCGAATGCGGAAGTGACTGCTCTTCCACCGGAAAAGGAAAGACGTTCTCTTCCGCATCGTGCGCGTGACTTACGTTGGAGCTGCAATCGCGGCGGCGCATAGCGATAACGCAGTAAGTGCACGACTGATAATCATGTTGTCGAGTAGTATTGTTGGAAATCAAGGGTAGCAGTACGAGCTCTGAAGATGCGGTGGTGCTCAATCCAAATAAGATGTGATGGTATGTCTGTAGATGGGACCAAGTGAGTGCATTTAACAAGTTGCCGAGCGAACACTGTGGATGCGGCCAAGGTGGAGTTTGCGCGCTTTCCTGGAGGCAGCGAACTCGATGGAGTCGCGACTGCTGTGTTATGGCCATGTGACGGATATCCTCTAGTCCGAACTGGGCATCTAAGTTGGTAAGCCCACGGGTCTCGTGGGTTGTGATTGGGGTTGGACCCTTCGATCTAACTAGAAACGCAATCTGGGGGATTGTAGTGAACGTCTTCCCCCGGAGACGCGGATCGGGACAGAAAGCTACATGGATGACGACGCGGTCAGGAGGCGGGTTTGCTCAGCACGCCGAGGCGCATGTGACGTGTTCACACGAATGAACGACCTACATCGCACTCAGATTCTGGTAGCGATGAGCATTCTAAACTAGACATCTTGTA